TTTTTTTTTTTTTTTTTTTTTTTTTGTTTGTTTGGTTTGTTTTTTTGGGGGCTCCCCTTTGCCATCAGAAATACCTTTTCATAGTGGCAAACATGACTTGTTTCTTCCACAGCAGGATCCGTTCCAACATGTAAACTCATCTCCATCTCCACAGTTCAGCATATTCCTGCACACTTTCCATGTAAAACACTGCACACACACATATGGATATACACATAGATGTATATATATATATAGATATGTATATATATACATGTGCATGCATGCCTACATATGTGGGTACTTTATGTGCACATACACATGGTGAGCATGCATTTACAGAGCCACAGCCATGCACAYCTCCCTGCCCATTTATAAAGAAAAGGCTGCCCAGGCTTGGTAGTGCAGGGTGAATTTAAAACAGCATCACTGCCGTTAAAGCCATCCAGAAAAGGGAACCCATAAATGAGAGGATGAATGAGAAGATGTCAGGAGTGTTAGCRCTTAATATTCCTGGAGCGAGGCTGCATTAATTGTTGCTGCAGCAGCGCTCCTCCCTGCTCCCTCTGATGGAGCTTGTGGATCTGCACGCATACACGTGCAACTTCATTTCCCACCCCTACAAAAAATCAACCTCCCTGGCAGACCCTTCACCCTCACCCCATMGGTGTCGTGCCAAAGGCTGTAAGTGCAACAGCAAAGCCTTCCTGCACCCCGACTCAGAAACAAATAATTACGGTGCAGCCCCCGGGCGGGTGGGGAGCTGTCTGCTGGTTGGGCTCATGTTTTATTGATCACACTGCTGTGATGAATCAGTTCCCGTGGASCTGCAGACAGGCACTGGCCACTGTGCAGAATTACGAGTCCTGGCATCTCAGGGCCACCAGTGGGAAGGTGGTGGAGTGGGCACGTGTGAGGGTGCAGAGGCTGCACCTGCAAAGGTGTGAACCATATCCCCAGCCTGGAAAGCCAGCTGGGATGTGGTCAGCAGCCAGGATTGAGCTTTTCACATGCTCCAGGCCATTCCTCCAGCCTGGGTGTTGTTTAGAGGGAGCCACTGGAGTGTTGGGCAGAGGGAAGGAGGTGCTGATGAGCTGGCAGGCCTGTAGCTGGGCTGGAAGGAGGTTCACCGAGCTGGGAATGCAGCTGTGCCCTGCAGCCCAAAGCCACAACTGCAGGAGCAGCCTGGGACTGGATCTCTGTGCTCCTGTGTCACCCTGTCTCACCCAGCCTCATGTAACCTTGTCTTCTTTTCTCTCCCTTCTCGCACCCTGCAGGACCCGGCACAGGGAGAGTAGACAACGGCTCCATGAGTTTGGCCGTCCCACTGTGGCTTCTGGCAGCGTCCGTGCTCTGCCTACTCAGCAAATGTTAATACAAATCAGAATTAAAAATAATAATATTAATAATAATTAAAAAAAACAACACGACAACAACAACAACAACACACAAAACAAAAYGCGTTATACAGGAGACAGAGCGAAGAGAGGGGAGAGAGAAAAAAGAGGGGGGGAGAGAGAGAGACGACTGTTTCTTTCACAACTTTTGTGTGTTCAGGAGCGAAGAGGGGGGAGAGGAAAAATTACAGCAAAGAAGACTCAGCAACATTTAATCCAAAACCTGAAAAGCTGGCTGTCAAGTCATCGACTGCCTAGGAGGCAACACGAAGCACGGGAGAGAATGGGGCACCAGCAAGGATCGTGTCGCCGGAGGATGCTGCAATGTAAACAATCCAACAAAACCCGCAAAGCCAATCAAACAGAAGATCCCTTTTCTTTTCTCTCCTCCTTCCTCTTTTCCATACTCCCTCACTTTCCTTCCTTCCTCCTCTTTCTTTCTTTTGCAGAAAGAGGTCTTTGCTTCGGTGTCTATAGCCATTTAACTTTTTGGATGCCCTGGGTCATTTTTGTGAGCTAATGCTCAGCCAGTTCATACTTTTAAAAACAAATTAAAAAAAAAAAAAAAAAAAAAAAAAAAAAAAAAAAAAAAAAAAAAAACAAAAAAAAAAAAGCCACAAACCAGAGCAAGTCACCTGAAGCTCTCTGCACACTGGTGTCCTGTGAAGAACCCCTTCCTCTCTTCACTTTACCCTGTGTTCATGTGCCCTCAGCCCCTGCTAAACACCTTCTTTCCTGTCCCCTCCTTCATGCAACATCACYCTCTCTGGCCTGAACTAAAGCTGTGTCAACTCTACTGAAAGCCTACTTTTCTTTCTTTTCTTTTTTTCTTTTTTTTTTTAATCCTCTTTCTCCCCCCATCTCAATTCAGCCAGGTGTCTTTCTCTTTCTCCTGTGTATGTCTGTGTGCGTGCGTGCATGCATGTGTGGCTCTTGCTCCGTCTTCACTCTTTCTCTCTTTCTCTTGCTCTCTCTAAGCATGCAAAGCAAACAGTCCATGTGTACATATGCTCATCCTGCTGTAGATAATGTCCTGCCTTGTAAGTGTGAGACAAGATGCAGAGAGATCACTCAGGCAGAGAAGAGGGGTGAGGAGAGAGGGGTATTTGCAACACAGGTTCACATCGTGCCCCTTCTTCCATGTCCTCACTGGCTTTTTGTCTTCTGGCCACCTTGCTTGCAAGAGTCAGTCTGCACCCTTGTCTAGGCTTTTTTTCTCTCCCACCTCCAACCTGTTTGGCTCTCAGCCTCCAAGTACCAGCACAGCAGCCCATGCTGTGCATGAGTGCTCACACATGCACATGGGGTGTGCACTCATGTGCAATTGKCCAAGCAAGTGGAAGAAATCAGGACTGGCCTACAGCACTGTGGACTGAAGAGTGCGGCCCATATTGGTCCCAGGGATGGGAGGCTGGACCGCTGGGATGTGAGTGATGAGACCTTGGATGTCACCAAGAAGCCATTCCTTTTAGGTATAGTGTGCGTAGGAACGATACCTCAACCTGAAAACCACCATCTGGTCATCCCTAACCATTTTGGTAGTCGTGCAAAAATAGAGCCAATACCCTTTTTTGTTGCTTTGTTGGTTTTGTTCTTACTGTCTTCCCTGGTATAAAAGGAAATGTAGACTGTGTAAAGGTGAGTGTGTGTGTGTGTGTGTGTGTGTGTGCTGTACACCACGGCTATTACAAAACTCACTGCAAATTCCACCTTCGAAAGAAATTGGGTCAGAAAATGTCCAGGACCTGTGAATGTAAGAAATAAAGCAAATGTCAGGTCCAAAATCCTGGGCTTACCAAGAAGGAGCTTAAAGTGGTGCAGCAAAGAAGCAGGCAGCACAATTTCCCATCTCTTATCTCAAGGGTGTTGGTCTGGCTGGAGAGCGCTCTCGCTTGCCATCACACTTCCCATGGCAGAACCACATACAAAGGTGCCAACAAGAGATGCTTTAGTGGCTCCCAAGTGAGGAGGAGTGAAAAGGCTTTAAGAAAATGCTGGGCAATGGCTGGAATTCRCCACACCAGCACAAGGAGCCAGGAGCCAGGGTGAGCAGAGGCTGCAGTGCCTGTGGGTCAGGGCAGAGGGGAGAAAACTCCTGTGTCCCTCGGCTGGTCACAAGCCATTGTATCCACCAGCAGCTAAGATTGTGAAACACAGTGTGTACCTGCTAGGCATTTGCCATTTTGGATAGAGGGATGTGCAGGGAGAGCTGGATTTAACCCACCCAAGTTGAGCGCCCATCCCACAACAGCGCAGCGTTTTCTCAGCCGCTGAGCTTTCGAGCAGCAGCCGCTTTGCTCCTCACTCTGGCAGCACGCTCGGCAGCCTTGCTCACACGCTCTTGCAGGAAAGGGGGAAACAGCTCAGCCTTGCCACCCTCTGGTGTGCAGGAGGGGATACCTGACGGGAATTAAAGCAGGAATTGCTGCCTGTGAGCCCATCCCCACCTTTGCATGGGTGGGGCACAGCAGTCCGACCAGGCTGCTCCCTGGTGCTCTCGCCTTGCACTGCGGTGCTGCCTCTGCGCTGCTGAGCTCAGCTATTCCAGGCAGCAGCAGGCGTGCAATTAAGCAGCCAGTCAAAGGCTCCTCCCAGGCAGCCAGAAAAGCCAGGAAATTTATTAAAGAGAGACACGAGAGACTAAAGTCTGGGCTTTGCAAGAGCTGATGTACAGCTGCTGTGGGATTGGATGGTGGTAATTTGTGCTCCTCCACACCCCAAAGCCATACCTGCAAGAGGGTGCAAGTTGCAAGTGGGCAACTGGTGCTTAAAATCTACCCAAGGCATCCAGGAATGGCTCCCTTCTTCCAAGACAGGGCGATTATTGATAAGACTTGGGCATCCCCTTTGGAGACCAGTGTGTGTCAGCCCAGGAAAACAATGCCCTGTGTCCTTCAGAGCATCTAGACATCCCAGTCCTTGTGCCAAACCTTCAGGAGGGGCATGTAATTCACAGTCTTAGTAACAAGTCCAGATTTTCTGCTGCAACAGGGCTTCTCTTTCCCCTGGTACAGCCATGATTGTTCCTGATCCCAGATCCCAGGTCTGGGACCTGCACCCTTTCCAGCATTATGGCACGAGGGAAAACGCCCTTGCTCTTTCTCAGAGCCRTACCCATGCCTGGATTTATTGTCACAGGCTTGTTGAAAAAGGTGGGCAGCCTGCAGTGTCTAGGCTGCTCCTAAGGGCTGAGTCAAGCCCATTTTGGGTTTTTTTCATGTCAACCTGGTTGCCATGGTAGCACCTGTCCCATGTGTTCTCTGCATGTGTTTTTGTCACCGTGGGGTCACTCTTAGACACTGGGGTCACACACGTCAGAYCCCTGTGGTGTGGTGGTGGTCATCAAGTCCGGTACCTCATTATCTCATGTTTTGGTTTGAAGGAGTTTTGAGGGGATGGTTTTTTAGATGTCAAGGCGCAGAGGCTATGATTAAAGGGAAATATGTCACTAAAAGCAGGGCATCCATGTTTTGAAGCCACCAGCCCATTAGTGGGGGAAACAGCCCCAGCCCCAGTGCTGGGATCTGGTCTTTCCTGCAGACCCTGGGCAGATCTTTGCCTCTGTTGTGTAGGTGTGAAACAGGGTGAAAGCCAGGTAATTGCAGACCTCTCTGAGAAAAGCCACCAACACCAGGTATGCCTGTTTGCAGCAGTGCTGAGAACCCCACTCCTGGCAATGTCTGTTCTGGGAGTTGTGGGTAGGCTGGAGCTCAATTTTCTGCAAGAATCTAATTCTGTGAGCTGCAGTGTGCCTCACAGGATGCTGTAAAAATCCCAATGTCTCCTGAACCCAAGCAGGGATTGCTCAAAGCACCTSTCAAGAGATGAGCCCAGATGAATATAGGCCACATAGACAAAGGTCTAATGCTTTTCCCCATTTTTCTCTCCTCCACCCTCTGACAGAGATGTTGCAATGGGTTTTCTCATGTCTCAGGCCCTTCTCTCTGAAACTCTTTCTCATCATCATCTCTTCTCCCCATTTACATTTCCCATCACCTCCCAAAAAGCTGTGTTCTTGCTTCCTGCTGCCTCTCAGCTGGTTGGGGACCAGGGAAGATGGGAGTTTAGAATGGGACACCAGTTCCTTGAGCTTGTCAGTGTAATTGTGTTTGATTGATGGAGATTTAACATTTAGTGTTATAAAAAGATACGAGCAAAATGGAAAAAAAAATTGTATTTCTTCTACTGGTTTGTAAATATTACAAGAGTTACATGAGATGTCTGGTAATGTCCAAGCAGAGGAACAAAAACTTAGATTTCATATATGGCCCCATAATTGCTAGCAGATTTCTAACCCTTTTCGGATGACCGAGAGGAGGGGTGAAGGCAAGTCTTTCTGAAAGGAACTGGACAGGGGAAATGCAGCCACCCCGAGCCACATGAACTCCATGCATGATTGTAGCATGTTGCTTGGAGCGTGTGCCTGGCCAGATGGAAAACGAAGCAAATGCCTGTCTCTGAACGGCTGTGAAGGGCAATGTGGGATGCTCCAGCCGACACCTGTACCTTGGCAGTTGTGTTCATTTCTGTTTGTTTGCAGCCCCGCCCTTGCGGGCTCGTTGCTCAGTGATGCGCCCTCTTCCTCCTCCCCCGTACCCGCTTTCTTCACCRGTGAAGTTGTGTCGCCCCACGCTAGCCCCGAGTGCATGTGAACGTGCCATTCATGGAGATTTCATTGGTGACATGCATTGTGTTGAGAGTTAAGTCTTTGTCTGCACATCTTTCTCACACCACTGACTGTTCACCACTCGGGCAGATCGCTCGTGCACTGCTGCTTGTCCCACTTTTGCTCAAAGAACATCCAAGCCCCACCAGCTCTTCTTAGCTCCAGGTGCATCCAGATCATGCCCCGCAGGCCACCTGTCTGAGCAACCCCGTTTGGAAAGTCCAAGCACACGGCATGGACAAAGCCACCATCAAAAAAAACACGTGGTCTCCAGGCTGAGTGGAAGCTACACATCTGGAAGGAATTTGGGGGAGCAGCAGCGAGTCCTGATGAAACAAGAGGATCTGGGAAGTCRGAGGAGTTGTGCCAGAGTCCTTCACAGCCCCACCAGCAGATGATTATTTCAGCTCAATTTTTGTGCAGTGTTCCATCACTTCGCCYTTCCCTGGTGAGGGAATCTATGGGCACAGGGAAACACCTCTTCTCCTCCTATCCCCTCACACYTCTGCTTCCTCTCCTCCAAGCGCACTGACCTGCAGCCCAAAACCATCATGGTGCTTGATGTGATGTAGCAACTGACATGGGGGATGGCTGACCAAGACAGTATGACAGAGGAGGTGCCAGGGGGGTGAGCAGTTCTCTCTCTTTCTCTCTCTCTCTCTTTCTCTCTCCTGATGGTRCACAATCTTACTGCTTCTCTGACTCAAGGGCACAAAACTTCTTGAGTTAGGGATGCCGGGAGCAAGCTGTCCTATGGGAAGAGCAAAACTTGAGGYAGGGAAGTGATGGAGAAGCTGGATGGTCATTTCCAAGATGTGCTGCCAATGGAAAAGGGTAGGGATGAGTGCTGTCCATCGTCCATGCGCAGAACACTCAGGTTCACCAGCGAGGAGACTGTGGCCTCTCAACGCTAACCTTAGAGTGGCTTCATTTGCAGTGGGATGCCCAGAAGATGATTTTTTTTTTTTAAATTGCATGACTCTGCTGACTTAAGAGCTGTGTCACACCATTAAAACCTCTTTCACTTTTCCTTCTTGTAACTTGCTAGAACAATGATCGGGCAGCTCCCACAGCCCCCCCAAATTTTGCCTAATGGTTGGCTCCCAYTAGGGCAATATATGGTGCTTGTTTGTTAGTTCACTCACTGTAACGGGGGAACAGAACTCATCTTGGTGACAGCATGTCGGTGTGGGGGTCAGGGGGAGGTAGGGAGGTGAGGAGAACGGCCAAGGCAGGGCATGGGTGAGAGGAGACACTCTCCTAATCAGCCCAGGTGGGGAGCAAAGGGGTCTTCACTCACTACAGGCCTGGTTATCTGGTGCCACAGCAATGGAGACTGCCCTGCAAGACTTGTAGAACTGCCCAGATGGCACAGAAGGAAGGGCAATGACAGGGGGACATGACTGCAGCACAGGCAGTGGGGGCTGCACGAGCAGCAGGGTTCCTGGGCAGCACAGATGGGGAAGGGACAGAGATGGCATCCCAGGAGAGCTCTTCTTTCCCTGCCTGTCCTCATGGTGTGCCTGGAGCTCCCTCCCGGCCTCCCTCTGCTCGCCATGCAGCGATGGGCCTCAGCGGGTAAATGACACCRCGGTGGCTCCAGCGTGTCCTGAGAAAGGTGTGTGGGTGTTTATGTCCCTAACAGAGAGGTCACGGGTGGAGATGAGGAGCAAGGCTTACCCAGGAGCCAKCCAGAGAGGAGATCACCTCCTGAGCAGGGCTGTCCTTCTGCACARTTGTGACATTGGCTCCCCTTGGGCACGCACAGGCGCATACGCACACCCCACCAGCTCCACCGCGCACACACAGCGCTCCTGGGCCCCTTTCCCTTCTCTTGTCACGCACAGTTGGGTGGGAACTCAGCCATGGCTCTGTTTGTGACACACACAGCTCCCTGGTGGCCTCCCAGGAATCCAGGAATCCAGGAGAAGGCGTGTGCACTCCAGTGCCTGTGCCTGCGGGAGCACATGCGTGTGCCAGGAAAGGGAGGAGGGGGCACAGAGCGTGAACCTGCCTCTGCAGTGCCACCATCACCTCCCAAAATCATTCAGCTTTCCCAGCTGGAGCCAAAATTCATCCTCTAGACCTTGAGAATGAAGGCYAGTCCCTTCTTCTTGCTACACGGTGGGGTGGTTAGAACTCTCCTCATTAACAGTGTTATATACATATAAATATATATATATATCTATATCTTTATATATATTTTTCCCCAGCACTGTAGACATGAGCTGAACTTCTCTTTAACGAAACGAGAAAATGGCCATTTTATTTTTTGCCATTGTTTTGGTTTTGAAACTAGCTCTGTGAAAGGAAGTTTTAAAAGCGCAAGTGTGTGTGTAAAAGAACCGATCAAAAYGACTAAACAAGCCAACAAACAAATGAACAAAACCCAGTGATGGAAAAAGWAAAAAAAAGAAGCTTTTTATTTTTTCTTTTCTCAATGTATTTAACTTCTGTTATCTCGTTTCTGTTTCTTTACATGTATGAATGCTCTGCTCTTCTGTGATCTTAAAAAAAAAAATACAAAAAAATACAAAAATTAAATAAACGTGAAAAGGAGGTAATGTTTCTTCATTTCCCTTCCTTTCCTTGCCTACTCTGGCTTGTCTCCTCTCTGATCATGTCTAGTGATGACTTTCTAGTCACAGGGCCTGGGATGAAGAGAGCGGGCTGGCTGGAAATAGATGTGAAATGGGACTGCCAGGAGGAGAGGAAAGGAGAGGTGCCATAGGCAAAACTGCAGTGCACAGCCGTGAAGTCAGCACTTGTCTTCAGCTTCTTG